GTTTTGGTGTTGGTGGTGATAGTGATACGGGTAGGGGGTACAAACACACCCTTCCCCACTACATGGGGACGTGTTTTGGTTTTGGTGGTGATAGTGATAGGGGTAGGGGGTACAGACACACCCTTTCCCCACTACATGGGGACATGCGTTTCAGTGTTAGTGTTGGCAGTGATAGTGACAGGGGTAGGGGGTAGACATACCCTTCCCCCACTACATGGGTACATGTGTGTTGGGGTTGGTGGTGATAGTAATGTGGGTAAGGGGTACAGACACACCCTCCCCACTAGGTGGATGATTTGCTTGGTTGTTTGTTTGAAAAAATTTTTTTACATAATAGTAACTGTCAATTGTTGTTTTGGATCATCAATAATACTTCAGGAGAATTGCATTACCTACCTACAATGTGCAATAATGCAATCATTACTACAATACTGGGTTCCTCTTTCTTTTGTTGTCCGTGCAGGCATGTTGCAGCCTTCTCTTATGCAAATTCTTTGAGTAATAGGATTGATAGCCATCTTGGGTTTCTAGGAAAGAATATTGAAGTAGGATTATTCTTCAGTTTTTATTTTCCTGACACAGGAAGGAGAAAACAATGTGCTTTATACACTGTGTTAACATAATCAAACAGTGATTCTCAATAGCATGGAAAGAATTTTCATTGTGTAGTTCCAGAAATTATCCATACCCCACCCCCCACATGGAGGAAATTGGAGTTTCTGAGGGGAAGGGAAAGGGAGTCAGAGAAAGAAAATCTAGTTTGTAGTAGAGTAGAGTGATATTTATTTAGTATCTTATACACAAGTGGGTGGCACATTGATTTGACTCCAAATAAAGTTGTATGGAAGAAAATTGAAATTTTCAGGGGGGAGGGAGGGGCTCTTAAGGAAATTCCCAGGGGGGGGGGTGTTGATAATTTCTGGTTTTGGTTTACGTCTATCGAGGCATTTCCTTAACATTCCACAGGCATGTGCCATTGAAAACTTTGTTTTCTAACAATGTCATGGAAACACTTTCAATATGATCCACATTGACCAAAACCCTATTTTGTTGGTAAATGGTAAATTTTACTATTTTGCAAGTGTGATTGGAAAGCACTAATGTTTCCCTCGCGTTTCTACTCCCAAGAATATTCCATTCAACCAACCTTTGTCTTTACCGGTGGCGAAGATGTACTTCCAGCAGTCATAGTTTTGCTCACTGTTGTAGGAGTGACCTTTGCTACTTTTAGTGGTGGCTCACTTTTATTCAAAACAGATTTTGGTATTTTCAGGGTAATGCTTTCCTGTTTAGCTGGGTCCTTGGTAGTTAAGATAGTTACAGAAGAACTTGATGGGAGGCCTGTGGTTTTGGGTGATGAGATAGGGGAAGCAATACTAGTAGAGGTAGTTTCTAGCTTTCTGATCTTAGGGCTTGGTTCCTAAAATACAAACATAATGAAGTGAAAATGTTAGCCAATTAGGATGGAGGAAATTTGCTAAACTGAGGTGTCACCTTGCATTTGAAAATATGGACTTTCAGGCCACAAAATAATGATAACAGTGACAATATTACTGACAATATTAGTGACAATATAATGAGTTTTATATTACTATTGCAATGGTGGACAGGTTTTTATTTTTCACAGTATGCCAGATAAATTTGAATCCGCAATTTTCACACCACACTAGTCCTTTCAGAGGTGGCAAAAATGCTTCATTGCACATCTGAGCATGTACATCGAAACTGAAATTGAGCCTGTGTCAAATTTTTAGCCTTCCTGCCATGTCCCCATGACAATCATGACTTCATCCTATTCGAAAAATATCGTATTCGAAAAGTTTCGGATACAAAATCTCCGTCCACACTAATATGGCTAGCTGGCATTTTCAAATTGCTCCACTCTGGAGACCGTATTCGAAAAAATTTGTTTTCAGTGAAGAATTGTTCGGGATTCGCCAGGACTAGTGTGAACGGTAGGCCTAACCGAATAAACAAAAATTCGGATTCAAATTTATCTGGCATAGTGTGGACGGGGGCATAGTGTGGACGGGGGCATAGTGTGGACGGGGCCTCAGTCATCATGACGCCTCAGTTTTGCAGTGACGTCATTTCTACGTCACTATTTCAGATCAGCTAGACTACAAGTCAAAATTAATAATGTTACCAACACAACCCAAGGTGTTTTTGACTCCCCTCAATCAAAGAAAAAATTACCAACTCAGACTGACGAAATTTGATTAACAAAAGCCAGTAACCGAGGTCTTGAATTTATAGATCAAAGTAATTGAATTACCTGAGGTTTGCTTTCACTTTCTGCTTTAGCCTTTTCATATTTAGCATAATATACCTAGACAAAAACAAATTCGTTATTTTTACTTCTGAGATAACATGTATATAGAGGGTTTGTTTGCAGTGTTGTTCTTTCCCTTTCCAAGACAGGTTTTCTCCCTCCTAGCAAATCAACAGGATAATTGAAAGTTGCTTAGAACATTAAATGTACAGAAGAGGGTATGGTGTGTGTTCTGGTTAGGGTGACTTGACAACAACTATATCACAATGTAAAATGAACAACTATATCACAATTTTAACAAATTAAACACAGCTTTTCCCCATGCTCTGTTCAGTATTTTTTTATGCAGGTCCACA